TGTAAACAACTTTACATTTGTGTTATAGTTTTGTTTTGTGAAGTATTTTTTTGTGGGATCTCATATCAATAATTCTTCATCAGCCCAACAATTATTCAACACCACTCACTCACTTTATTAAATGTGGTGTTTTTTTTATACCTGTTGCCAACGTTAAATTTGCCTCCCATTCTTATTCTGCTTTAGTTAGTAGTGGAGAAAAAATATATTTTTGATAATTTTTTTGTCTACATATTCTATTCTTATTCACAAAATGTGGGCGTTTTGAGGAAAAAATGCGATTTTTATTTTTTTCACAAAAAAATTCTTGTCCAGTATTATGTTTTATTTTTAATTTTTTTTTATATATTTTGTTTGCCTTTTTGTATTTATAATTCATTTTTGTTTTGTCTCTATATAATTGTCATGCCACACACAACAGATGAGCCAGTAGTCATCATTCCCATAAAGCAGAGAGGTGTATTATGTAGGGATACACTCACACTTCTCTTTTGATGTATTACCTTAATGAGCGTAAAATGGCAAAAAAGCGCCAAATATGTAATTGGTTGTCAATTGAATTTTTAATAAAAAAAAAAAAAACAAAACAAGTAAAAATAATACAAAGTCCAGGAAAAAAATTGTGTCGTAGCAGGGGTATTTTGTTTAACATTATCCCCCTAATTAAATCATCATCGTGTCGGCAATGCAATGTTGTCATAAAAAAGCGCGCGTGTTTTTGTATCATTATTGCATGAGCCAGACTTTAGTTGGGAGAGAGAATGAATGATTCATTTGTCTGCCTGCCCCCATAAGTTGGGTTTATTTACACATGCAACTTTTGTTTGCAACTCGGCGGCTGCTGATCTTTTAGATTCACTTTTGTAGTTCTTTCTCTTCTAAGAAAGAATTGCATGTGCAAAAAACCCAGTCAGGTAAGAGAGTGGAGGGGAATTAAAACCCTTCGCCTCTCCCCCACAAATGGACAAATTTGCGCAAGCAAAGTGGCATAATGTAAATATGTTATGTGCCAAATGCTGTGCAATGTCAATGACATTTTGTCATTCGAAAAGGCGCGCATCTCTTCATAACATGAATCAAGCTGCTAAAGTTAAAGAAAAAACTAAACTAGACCTTTTCAATAATAAAATTCCGAAAATTATATCAATTTAAAACAAATCAAAAAGTTAATACATGAATATGATTTTTTTTACTAGCCAAACAGCCACTCTGGGCATTTCACATTTGATGTCTTTCCTCAAATCTATGATGACAGCATTGCTCTCACTCTCTCTATACAACTTTTTAATTAAAGAAAATCACTTTAAATCATCTTAATTGTTTTTTAATTATATTATTATAATTTAACTAATTGTATTTTTAACTAATTTTCATTAGTTTTATGTGTGAAATATATTTAAAAAAGTAAAATAATTACTTTCAAGCATCTCACCTCCATATTTGGCTGTTGCGCGATACCCAACTCCATTTCTCTTTTATTTAATGAGAGTGACAAGAGTCTTGACAGGACAAGACAAAAGGCGCCGAAGGAAGAAAAAACTTCAATTGGCAAAGCAATGCAATACAAAATCATAATCAAGCAAAATAATTATCACATATTATAAATATATTTATAATAAATGACTCTCGCACATTAGATATTGTGATCCTTAAAGGATATTAACAACTAAAGTCACTAAATTATTTTCTTTATCCCAATAAAATTATCAAGTGAAGTAAGTTGTTTGCCATTTGATATAAAGAGGGAGAGAGAGAAAGTGTCATATGATGTGAAGAGTAGTCTCATCTCATCTTTTCTTGTGTATTACCTCAATGGTCAAAGGAATTGAAGTAAAAATAATACAAAAAAGTGTAGTAGAATTATTTGAAATAATAAATATTTAAAATAAAATAATAAAATAAATGTAAAATTGTGTCGTAATAAACTACAGAATAGATGGCGAAGTTTACCAATAAGATCAAATGAAAAAGTGGCTGCCCCTTCATATGTTTGTTGTGTAAAGAGAGAAAGAGAGAGTGTTGTCATCTGTCATATGATGTGAAGAATTGTCATTTCATATGCGGTATTGCTTCAAATGACCGTAGCAAGTAAAATTTAATATTTAATATTAATAATTAATGTGAATTTAATAAAAATATCAGCCAAATTTTGTCAAAATTTGTTCAATAAATACAAAAGACTAGTTTAAAATAAAAAAATATGTTAAAATGTCTCATAATAGACTCCACAGAATGAAGAAGAGACAATGGCTTTGCTAAAATTAAAAGATCCATAAGTGTCAGCACTTTGTCAATTCAATAAAAAGCATGATAATAAATCTCCGGAATAATCAATCATTGGATTATAAGATATTAGGAGCTAATAAATTTATTTTTTTAATGTAACAAAATAAAATTATCAAATGAAGGAAAGTGTTTGGCAAATGGCTTCCCTCCCTTAAACTAGACTTGAGCCTTACTCATATATAGCTTAGAGGATATTAGCAACAAATTAATGTTTTTTTTTCTTATTATTCTTTTTTTTGTGGAATAAAATAAAATAATCAAATGATTGAAGTGTCTGCCAAACGGCTCCCCTCATGTGTTATGTTGATGAACTAATTAATTGCGATAAAATTCGTTAATAATTTTATTGGACAACATTTAGGAAATACTCAAAGATTTAACTATAGGGTCCTTATATAAAAAATACCTTGCTAATGTTATGGAATGACATTTAAAGGAAATGCAAGTTACAAATGATTTTGGTTTTACCCATAATTGAAGAATTAATTCTTTTTTTATTTTTACAGAAATTAGCTATACAATGAGTAATCAATCCAATAAAAAATTGGATTTCCTGAAACCTTAAATACAACAATAACCGGAAATCTGACAAATACATTTCCGACTACACATTTTCCAAGACTCGTGTAGTCAACAACGAATGTTACTTTTTATAAAAAAAATCAGTAGAGCAGTGTTAGATGTCATTATTGTATTTCTTCTGATTGGATTTCCTGGGACCTCAAATACAACAATAACCGGAAATCTGACTAATACAACATTTTCCACGACTCATGAAGTCAACAACGAATGTTTCTTTTTATAACAAAAATCAGTAGAGCGGTGTTAGATGCACCCACTTCTAATTGCTTTAAATGATAGGGATCCGTCATTGGATATATTCACCTGGTATTCCAATTTTCGTTGACTAAGCCAAACTGAGCTGATGATGTAGAGCTTGAAATATCTAATACAGAGCTTTGAATTTTTGCCCCTAGAATGGTTTGGTATTGGAAATGATGGAATACACCGCTCTTCGTTTTGGTATAGCTTCCATGTAACAGAAACCTGCCAATTTTCTTAAAACCGAATTGCCTCTAATTTAATATTTGGGTTTTAAAAAGGGGTAGAAAAATTACCTACCAAAAATTGTGAATATCAATGAAGCTTTTAGTATAGCCTCAATATAACTGTACCACCCATTATTAGGTATTTTGAGTTTTCCCCTACACGTTTTCAATCGAGTTGGCTAACAATTAAGTAGGGTAATCATATCAAAATACCTAAAAAAGGTGCAGGACCTTTATATTTGGTCATTACCAAAACATGGGCCGATAATTGGAATTTGGAATGATTGGAGGATTTAATTTGGTGGTAGATCGTCCCGCCAAAAATTCTTAATATCGGTCCATGTTTTGCTATAGCCCCCAATATAAAGATCCAGCCCCCCTTTCATTGGCATTTTGAATTGATTTCTATCCTCAATTGTTGTGACTACATTGTCTAAAGTCTGATTAATTTTGTTTTTGTTATTTCATTTATTTATGTAAATAATATTACGTTTTGTGTGTGTTGTGTTTGTACACACAGTTTTCAAAATAGAAAACCAAAACAGAAACAAAAACACAAACTTTGATGTGTTTGTTGTGTGGTTGTTCGTTCAAAGGAATGTATTAAATTTTATATATAAACAAATAAATAAAACAAATTTGTATACCCCACAATATATGACTGACGACCGTCCCCCTATTCCCCCACGTTTGTATTCGTATATTTTTCAAATATTGAATCATGGCATGGGCATAGTAGACATATTCGCATATTTATATGTTCGTTTTTCTACCCAATACGACGTTGAACCCGACCCATTACCACCATGTGCTTTATTGTGTGTTGGGGATTTTACAAAATTTTGTGTTTTGGTTGTCGTCAATGCTGCTGTGCTAGCGGAACGGCGAGTGTTCATTCTGATTGCTATAATAAATTTTGTTATATATTTTTATTGTGTAGTGTTTTATTATTACACAAAAAATAATAACAACAACACTGGCGCACTTGACAGATAGATAATAGTTTATCAATATAGATATTTATTTTATTGGAAGGGGGGGGAGGGTATGATTGAAAAAATTTTTTGTAAGGAATTCTAGTAATGATTTTGAATTCATTGCGAAGAATTGTTCACATTATCAGGTCCAAGATTTGATTTTTAATAAAAAAAATTTTATTATTTTTTTAAATTTGAAAATTTCAAATTTTTCCACTATACACAAATTCTTCTGTCATCTCCTACTCAATCACCTCAAAATCTCCAAATCATCAATACCCCAAAAGACACCAACATAAATACACAAAACTATATACATAAAATATTTTGTTTATTGTGGGTGGAATTTTCCCTAAACCCCTATTGTCCGTCCTACCCCCCATCCCAGTTTTTTATGGATTATTATTTATGTTGTGTTATTATTTATGTTTTTTTTTTAAGAAAAATTTTAGAAAAATTTCAAATTTTTATTTGAAACTTTTTTTTAATAATTATTTTATTTATATTTAAGATTTTTTATTTAAATTTTCTTTTTGATTTTTTTTTTAAATATTTTTTTTGAAACTTTTTTTATTATTTTATAAAATTTTATTTTGAAAAATACCCCCCATTTGTTTCTTTTGTTATCCTTTCTCTCTACCGCCGCCACCCCCAATAACATTAATCTAATCTATTGCGAACGGTTTAAATCTACAATATTTCAGGTGTTAAAGCTGTTGATAAACGTGATGGCGCTGGCGCACACAACTGGGGTTCCGTTAAGGATACCATCGATGATGTCAACAAGAGTACCAACTCCGAAGAGAATGGCAACATTAGCGGTGCTGAAAAGGACAATGAATCGGGCAATGAACAAGCGGCTGAGCAGACACCTGTCGAGGAGGAGGTTAAGGAATTGACATTGGACGAATGGAAGGCCCAGCAGCAACAACGTGCCAAGCCACAATTCAATATTCGTAAAGCTGGTGAAGGTGGGTATCCCAGATTTTTTTTTGTTTTTAAATTTTGAAATTTTTAATTTTGTTTTTGTTGTGATTTTAGGCGAAGACACCACCAAATGGAAGAAAATGGTCGTTTTGAACAGTGCCAAGGTTGCCGGCAAAAAGGGTGGCAACGAAAGCGAAGAAGAATTGGAATATGACCCTGCCATGTATCCCCAACGCGTTGGCAGGCAACAACGCGTCTTGGACATTCAATTCAATTTCAATGATGGCCGCCGTTTGGGTGGCTTCGGTGGCCGTGGACGCGGTGGTCGTGGTGGTCCACGCAACAATAATGCCGGCGGTGGTGATTCAGCTGCCCCTGCTGGCGGCCGACCCCGTTTCGAGGGTGGCAATCGTGCTGCTGGCGGTAATGCTGGTGGTCGTGGTGGTGCTGGCGGTAAACGTCAATTTGGTGGTGGTGACAAACAGAATGCCGCTCCCAAAGTTAATGATGAACGTCAATTCCCCACATTGTCCTAAATTTTCAAATTCCCGCCTCGTTTCCTCCCTCCAAGAACTAATTTTTAAAACTCACAGAGAAGAAAGAAGAGGATTGTATTTGAATATGATGCCTCCTCCTAAGCACCTACAAAACAACCCACTCACCCCCCTACACACTTAAGAAAAACTACTCCTCCTCCACAACAACAAGAAGAACAACAACAATAAATTTTTAAACAAAACAAATCAAGATGAAATATGAAGTTGAATAAGAAGATGAAGAAGAAGAGAAAAATACACATGCCGTCGCAGGGAAGAAGTAACATTAAAACAAAAACAAAAATACAAGCAGAATATATAAGAATATAAGAGAAGATGAAGATAATGATAAAGAAGAAGATGCATAAATAAGAGATGAAGTTTTTAGTGTAGAGCGAAGAAGAAGAAGTAACGTTTTTTTTAAATATTATTTTCAAGCCAAAATAAACAAGTCATTTAAAATTAGTGTAAAACCAAACACACTCCAACAACAACAAGAACAAGCAGACAACAACAACAAATGGACAGATTTTTACCCAGCGTTCAAAACTCAAAACAAAAAACTTGGATCCAAAACAAACTCCATCCCCACGATCCAAGCAAATCATGCTCCTCCTCTCTTCCCCCTTCAACATAACCTCAACTCAACCACTCAAAAACCAAGCCAAGCAATACTAAGAAGATGATAATGAAGAAGAAGCAGAGCTATACCCCTCCGCCTTATCCTCCTTGTTCCAAGAGTTTTACTTATATTTGCCTAATATATATGAAACCAACTATTCTTGTTTTATTTTTTTATTATTATTATTTTTAAGAATTTTTTGTTTTGTTTCAAATTTTGTTTTTTTACTGAACATGAAAAAAACAAAACCAAACAAACAAAAAGAAAAGAAAAAAATTGAATTTCTTTTTTTTTTTACGGAAAACAGTATTGGGTTAAAAATATCTACAACAATATTTTAACACAAAGGGTATTTCCAAAAAGAAACAAAAAAAAACTGGACCACATTGGTTACCAGAACCTACCTACTAACTAAAAATGGAATTCAAAATTTTTTTAAAACAAAAAAAAACTAAAATTTTTTTCAATGAAAAAAATTGAAAAAAAACCCAAAAACCAAACCCATTGTGTTTTTCATTTCCACTTTCATTATTATTAGTATTTTGGTTATTCTCCTGGTTTTCTGGTTTTGCATAGAGAGGGGGATAGGAGTTGATGAAATAATAAGAACAAAAATATTCAAATACATTTAAATAAAGAGTAGTAGTGGGTATTTAAAATATAACTTTAAAATTAACAAACAACAAAAAATCTATTTTCAAAAATAACAAAAATTTAAAAAAATACAAAAAAAAAAAAAAAAATAAAGACTGTTTTAAAGATCAAATAATATCCAAAAAATATGATCTTTATTTAAAAAACAAAAACTCTTTGTTTTCATTTCTGCAAAAAAACAATGGTAACGAAAAAAAAAAATAAAAATTAATTTTTTTTTTAAATTTTTAAAAATTATTTTCACTATTTTGTTAATACCATTTTATAAATGGTAAAAAAAATCTACTTATAGAATTAGTTATTACCTGCCCCGCCCTTCATTCTTTTTTTTTTCAAATCAAATGTGAATTAGAAACCAAAACTTCATTTTTTTCATACATATTTTTATTTTATTTTTCAATAAAGTTATGTGATTTCAAAAAAATGAGTTAATATTTTTATTTGAATTTTTTGTTGAAAATTTTCAAAATACTTGTAATTTATCTTCAATTACCAAGTAAATATAGACGTATTGAATTGAAAATATTCTTCTATTTTATATATACATTTTATTTTTTATTACAGAGAATTAAACATTTTCAAAATAAAAAAAAAATAATTGTAAAAAATTATTATTAAATTAGTTTTTTTTTTCAAAAATTATAATTTTTAAAATTTTGAAAAATTGTTTTTTTTTATATGGAAAAATTATACTTTTTGAAAAATTTTGAAATGTTAAAAAATTTCTTACAATTTTAAAAATATATATTTTTTTTTATTCATAAAATTTGGAAAAAATATTTTTTTTTATTTTGAAAAATTGGATTTTTTCAATATAGAAAAAATGAACTTTTTGAACAATTTTCAAATGTTAAAAATTTTAGAAATTAAATTCAATTTATACAATTTTCAGAATTTATTTTTTTTCAAATTTATGAAAAACAATTTTTTCTTAATTTTTTTTCGAAAAAATCTTGAAATTTTGAAAAAAAATATTTTTAAAACTTGGAAAAAAATATATATTTTTTCAAATTTGTTAAATTATTTTTTTGAAAAATTAGATTTTTTCCATATTGAAAATTGAAAAATTATACTTTTTGGACAATTTAGAAAAGTTAAAAATTATCATTTCAATTCTTACAATTTTCAAAAATAATTTTTATTTTTAAATTCATGAAAAAAAATATTCTATATATATATATATATTTTTTTTTTAATGAAAAATTTAATTCTTAAAATTTGCAAAATATTTTTATTTTTTTTTAAATTTTGAGTTATTGGATTTTTCAATATTGAAAAATTATACTTTTTGCACAATTTTGAAAAGTTTAAAATCTTAGAAATTATTAATACAATTTAAAATATTTTTTTTTTTTAATTTTTGAGTGATTGGGTGTTTCAATATTGAAAATTATACATTTTGCACAATTTTGAAAAGTTAAAAATCTTAGAAATTATTAATTCAATTTATACATTTTTCAAAAATTATGTTTTTTTTTTTCAAATTTATAAAAAATTTTGAAAAAAAGAAATGTTGAAAAAAAATCTTAAAGTTTTGAGAAAATTCTTGAAAAAATATAATTTTAAAATTTGGATTTTTTTTTTAAATTTGTCAAAATATTTTTTTTTTTTTTTTTGATATTTTCAAATTTTTAAAATTTGTCAAATTTTTGGAACTTTTTTTAATTCAATTTCAAACGAATGGAATGTCCGATTTGAAACAAACTTTGCAAATAGTAATATTTTAACCAAACATATATCATGTCCGAATATGGGACCCATCGATCCACTTCTTCTAGTACCTCCCCTACAAAGTATTGAAATTTTGAAAATGTGTCAATTCAATACCAATGATCAGGGTAAAATTCTAAGGCGATCTACCCATGTCCGTCCGTCTGTTGTAATACGCTATCTTCTGAAAGAATTGAGATAGGGTGCTGAAATTTTGCATAGGCTTGTCTTTTGTCTGCAGGCAGGTCAAGTTCGAAGATGGTATATATCGTTCCACGTTTAGGCATAGCTCCCATATTTTCAGTATTTTGGGGTTCTTGCGCACGTTTTTTCAACCGAATTCGCTGCAATTTGGCATTTTGTAGTCGTAACAAATCTCCCTAACAAAAATTATTAATATTCGCCCATTTTTGGCGTAGTCCCCATATAATCCCATTTTTATATTAAAATAGTTATCTGATATGTTCCACGTTTTGGGTTTGATTCTAAGACTCTGTTATAATCATTTCACCTGCGGAGTATATCGATATAAAAAACTAGAACGTAAGGTTCGATAATGAACTATATATGAACTATAGCCCGGATTTAAGCCTAGGCCTAGCCCCTGTGTGGGACGTACCAGAAGGAGTGGACCGATATTTCCCATCTTCAAACTTGAACTAAGTGTGGAAGAAATAATAAGATAGGAAAAGTTTGGATGAAGTCAAAATTTTCTGAAACGGATTTGGTCCAATAAAACATGGGATCTAGAACTAATATTTCGATAAGGCACATTTTCACTGTATCAAGGTGAATACAGTGCATTCGGCCCGGCCGAACTTAACGCTTTTTCACTTGTTTAATGTTTTTGTTTGCATCATATTAACCTCTGTTTGATATTTTGAGTTCAAAATGTATGTAATAAAATTTATATAAATTTATTTTTGTAATTTATAAATAAAAAAAAAAATAATATTTAATGCTTAAATTTTCTAGAGACAAATAAAATTAAATTTGAGAAATTTTGTTAAAATATACCCAATACTGTTTTCTCCAAATACAAAATCTAATAAATTGCATATATTGGATTCCAAAAGAAAAACTTAATATTCTACAATAATATTTTAAAATAATACATATTTGACTTTTTGTAATCCCCATTTATCTATAAATTCCTTCCTCTCCGAAACATTTAAGTTAGCCGTGTCATTGTATAATCCAAAAAACCAATTATTATCCTCAATGAATAATTAATTATAAGGACCCAATAAAAATTATATAAATTAAAAATTATTTAAAATAAATTGTTTAATATTATTATTATTATTAAAAAAAATTAAATCCAAAAAATTAAAATCTACTTCATTACTAAAAAATATGCATCAAAAATTATAAAAAAAAATCAACGATTTATATATAAATCATATTTCAACTGATTCTAGTTATACAAACAAATGAAAAAAAACTCATTCTCTATATACACCCACATACATACATACCCATTTACATTATGAATGCAAAAAAAAAAAACACCACTAAAAACGAGCATGAAATTCTTCAACCCAAAGAAAAAAAATTGAGAAATTAAATCTTTTCATAAAAAAAATCAATCTTTTTAAATGCATTTGCATTTCATGTCACGTCCTGCCACCACTCCCTCACTCTCTCATCAACATCTTCATATTTATATATTTCAAAAAAAAAAACCAACACACATTTTTAAGAGTATATATATAAATTAAACCAAGTTTTAAATTACCATCAAAATGGAAAACAAAAATTGAATTCTTAAAGTGTACTAACAACAACAACAAGAACATGAATAAAAATATTAAATGAAAACAAAGAAAAACACAACCAATAAAAACATGAACAAAACCAATACGATGTTTGTAGGATGTAATAATAATAAAAAATAACTAAATATAAAATTGAAATAAAAATCGAAAAAAAATGTAAAAAAAAACTATAAATAAAAAATCAGATTTTTAATTGTAACAAAAATTATGAAATGGAAACTAAATTTGTGCTGAAAAAAATTTAAAACTAAAATTGACAAAAAAAATCCT